CCTGATCCACACCCGATGTATGCCACAAGCATTGTCACAGTCCAGGCGCACGATGATCCAGACTCTGGCAGCATGACGCTCCGGGCAATGTCAACTATCCAATGGGTAATAACCTGCAGCTTTGCCAACATGTTAACAATGGTGTTCAGATCCTTACTTCAGGCCGTGCCTTTGTCCAAGCCTCACCTACAAGTACTTTGAGACCAGAGCGGAGGTCAAGCCCTTGCCATTTCAGACATGTTCCCGCAAACCCAAGGTTTTGTGGCCATGATGAGAGGCCCCTGACCCTTAGACGATACGTACTGCATTCTGAAAGAGCCATCGCACATGCCCAACACACCCAAACAAAACAAACCACTGCAAAGGCCCCAAGACAATGTTGGGACCAGAAATGACAAAAGTCGAGACCACCAGCTGAGACAGAGCTGAGAAAAAATACATTCACTTCGAGCATCCCCACCCTAAAGCCGTTAGTGCACAAGAAATGCAACGTTTCCTAGAGGATTGAGGGCCTGGGTTGGGCACTGCAGGGATATTCCGCGGTTGGGCACTGCAGGGATGCATGGTGGTTGGGCACTGCAGGGATACTCTGGGGTTGGGCGGTGCAGGAAGGCCTTGCCATTGAGCACTGCAGTCAGGCTCCGGGCGGAGGACGTGGACAACGTAGACTTTAAAATCTAACAACCCCACTACGAGGTTGGGAAATGATAAAAAAAAGACAAGAGCTTGCGATAACACCTTGGAGAACGGCTGAGCATCCTCGGGAAGTGCAGCGAGAACAATTTCTTGCAAATCTGCTTCCGCAATATCACGTTCGTGGTTCATCAACGCGTGAGCCAATTCACATAGGAGAACCCACTTCCGCCTGCCAGAGATCTTCAATAATAAGAGCCTGCTCAGTTCATTGATGTACTGCTTCCGCAAGAAAACATTGCAGAAGGGTTGACGCGCGTCATCAGGCCGTTTAGATTTCTTGCAGATACGACGTGGAATTTGCGCAGAGGGCTCTTCCATTGGAGTAGGCGCAACAAACTCTTAAAATGCACTTGCATGCGCACCTTTATGCTTGTTGCTTACGCGGCGAGGAGTTTCTTGTATGGTCTGGCCCCTATTTGCATCCAAATACAAGCCTTTCCACGTGGTCGTTAATCTCTGGTGTCGTCAGCGTGGCTCAAGTCCGTCGTGTAAACCAGCATCATGTGGCGGTGTCTGCAAGGATCTCAGCGGCCGAGCTGCTTCTGCAAGTAGGGCTTACAGAAGAATGCCTTTATGTGTGGCACTCTCAAAAATGCAGATGCTTGTAACTGTGTTATAGATTGCTCCTCCTGACCTTCTACTTCAGATTGAATTAACACGTCACGCAAATTCGGCAATCAGTTAGGTTCATCGGACATGGCGGCACACTTGCACGTCCAGTCAACTGCGCAAACAGCTGCGGCATAGAAATGTGAGCTCGCTAGTTTTGCATGAGAAAACGCAGCTGGACCAGAGAAAATGTGAACTCACCAGACAAGTCTCACACCTCATCCCTCGCCTTCCCCTAAGCAACCTTGGCATCTCTGAAGGTTCTTCTAATTTGATTTGGGTGTCATTGACAAGCTGATGAGCTCGGTCAAGTAATTTGCCTGGAAACCAAAAGTGCTAACAGCGGAATAATGTTCATCACATAATTTTCTTTGCTAACAAACTGTCTCAGGCGCAGGCATCCGCGGAACTGTAAAGAACCCCGTGCGCACACGTTCCGTGATATTCCATTGAACGATATGTCATGTGGCCGTCTTGCCAACTATGGATACCTGGTATACCAAACTGGTGTACCTCCGTACTTGGACAGATGCCCCGGCTCGGGCGGGTTTGAGAGTCTCAGACAATGAAGGCCAAGAGCTTACCATGGGACTTGCTTGCCACGCGCTGGGATTGATCAACACTTACATCATTCAACCACAGCTTTATGCACGTCTTAATAGTTTAATGGAGGTTGTACGGGCCTGCCTCCAAGACTGCACTCAAGCGTTCACACTCAGCTCGGGCAGCATCCCGCTTCTCCTATGTGATGCAAGCGCCGCGCACTACGCTTAAGGGATCTTGGGGGATTCCCTGCCGTTTTGGTGCGATACTTCAAAGCCAGTCGAACAACTCGTCCGATGAGAGTACAGTACTGGCCCCAAAGCGGCATCCTACGCTGTCCATTTTGTTTGGAAATTAGAAGGACTTGCGCACGCATTCCAGGAAAATGCAGTTGCCAGCTTAAGGTGCACGCTCTGCTTCTACCAGCACTCCTCTGCTTCAGCCACTGAACTCGTCAGTGCCTGTGACCAGCAGAATACAACATGTTTCTGTATTCGCATCAGCTTGGCCGGCCCTTGTGCTGTTCTTCTCCAGGTTCAAATTCAACCTTGGTAAAGAATCGTGTTTTTCTCCCGGTGACAAAGAACTTGTTTAAGGCTTCGGCTCCAGGTCGCGGAGTGATGCCTGGCAAACTTCGAACGCGCGCTCTTGACGTTGAAACACAGTGTTCCATGACGTTCCACGCAATCTCTGGCCTGGATGTGCTCGACATCTGCCTGCGAGGCCTTGACGCCTTCTTCTGCCGCGGCAAGCTGATTAGCCTTTGCGCCGCCAGGTTCAGAACATGGCCCCCTTCCGAAAATGTGTCACTAACCGACCGTTTCTACCAGCTGAAGCTCTCTGTTACCAAGGTCACGGCTTGTTCTGCTTCTTCAGCAGCTCTCCGCTTGTCCTGTGCAAGACGACCATGAAGGTCCGTTCCTCAACAAACTCAGATGTTGCCTCTTCCTCCAATGCTTCTGCCGCTTTGCGCGCCTGCGCACTTACTAAGACTGCTCAGCGAGCACCCTCCGGCCGAGGAGCTATATGGAGATCACAGAACTACAGCCCGCTGTTAGACTACCCGCTTTTCACAGCTGTGGCCTTACTTCGAATTCCCGCCTCGGCCTCTGCCTCAGCCTGCTCCACCGCAGCCTCAGCCGCCACCTGGGTGGAGGGGGTTTTGCAAAGTTTGGCCAGACCTTTGCTTTTTTGCAAGGTTTGGCCAAGCTGTTTGAGCTCCGGCCCAAACTCGGAGCTCGTTGTGAGCCAAAATTTGTCAAAAACGAAGAAGGTGCTGTACTCTGGGACGAGCACGCGCACGGCCGTCTCCAGAGCATGCTCTGGACGGGAGCATGATCTCAATTGACTGGATCATGGCATGCTGCCCAGGGAAAAACACTCTTGCAGGCAACCTTTTGCAAACATGGTGATGGGGCGATACCCCCAATTGCCAACACCTTGTCAGATGTCGTGTGAGAGGGAGAGAGAGCGCGCCCAATCACTGAGCAGCGTCCATGCACCGGAGCGGTGCTAGCAATACCAAAAGGGGGTTGGCAGAAGGGCACCTCTCCATTTGTAAACATCATGATCAAACGTGTGCTGCTCGGACGTGCCTCTTGGAAAAGCACTCTTGCATGCAGCTTTGGCAAAGTTGGTGGAAAACCAAGCAAGAACAAACCCGGCCTTGGCATCCTTAGCCCCTGAAAAGCCAGAAAGGATCCTGGATGTTTACTGCCTTGCCCTGGTTGCTGCCAGGGCACAAGTTCGGCCTGGAGCCGCAAGAGCTCTGCTCGAGCAGCCTCACCCATGCAGCGATGCAGCGAACATGCAGGGTGCATGGCAGAAGCTGGCTTCTGCTGCCTCAGCTGCCTCTTGCAGCCGATTCTGGTTTTCCAGGCAAACCACCTGGCACGTTGAATTCGCAAAGCCAGTCACACATGTGCTTGAGGTTTTGTGCATCTGGTGGCTACCTCGTCGGCAGCCACCTGATCATCCATCTCCTCTTCGGCACAGACATCACGTCTCTGCTGGGCTGACAGTCTAGCCTGTCCCAGCATAACATCCTGAGTCTTGCTTTTTCGCACGGAGATCTCTACCTGCAGCAAGGCTTTACAAGCGTGCACCTGTACACTGCTGGCAAGCCTTTAGCTTCTCCATCTGACGCTCCAAAGCTGCAGAGCGCTCCTTCACATGATTTCACATGCATCACATGCTGCAAAACAGCGCGAGGTTGACCCTCGCAGACCTATTCAGTGCTCCTCGGCCTGTCGAGCTCGATCCCTTCCACCATCCAGCTCCTTTGCCGGTATGCTGTTAAGGAAACAAATTTCAAAATGACATGTCCATCTATGCGCAACACTTTCAATGTGCCTGCCCACAGTTGCCCTGGCTCTGCTTTGTATAAGGCCCGTGCCTCTTGCAGGTCCGAGATCTGGATACTGCGCCTAGGCAGCTCCACTGCTTCTCAACAAGACATTTCTCTCTGTCAGCCTTCAGCTGAAAGGGAAAGAACATTATGTAAAGGCCTTGAAAGCTCGGAGCCATGGAAATCATCCTCTGCATGCTGCGACATGGCTACGAAGGACGCTGTGACGGCACTTATGCTTGCAGAATGACTTCGTGCTGCACTCAGAGCTCAAGATGCTTGTATGCTATCTAGCCTTCCGCTTTTTCTGTCGACATGCCTTTCTCCAAAGCTGGCGACTTCCTGGGACTGGACTATCCTGGACTATGCTCGCTGGTTGGTCATACCCGACTTCGGAACTGCTTGCATCCTGTGCACTTGCCTTGACTGCCAACCCTGCTTGAACCAGGATTACTACCAACCTGACGCAGGCAAGTCTGCTCGAAAGACTAATTTTCAACGTCACGTCAAAGCTCGAACGCCATAGCAGGAACATATTTATCTGACCGCACGTCCTGCTAGCAAGGGAAGCGTACTGTACCAGGAGCCCTTGCCAGTGAATCAACACAGCATTGCTCTTCTTGAATGAGGCGCAGGTCAATCCCTGAAGATATGGCTGGGTATGTGGTATGGGCGGGCAGAGCCGTCCAAATGTCCATATGTTCAGGTATTTGAAGGGAAGCTCTGGCATTTTCCAAAAGAACCCCCAATGACGAACTAGGTGCGTGTCATCAGCGCAGCTAGTCTACTCTTGGAGTAGCCGAGCTCATGTGTTGATGAGGAGGAAAAGGAGGAAGGCCATCAAGCAACTGAGCCCGATGATGAGGCAAAGCCTGGGCAGAAGACGTTCCCTTCAGCAGTCGGTCAGCACTATGACGCAACGATACGCAACGTGCAACGAGACGATATTTCAAAGAAGTGGCTGCTTGCTGTCGCTTGTTTTGAGAAGCTTGCCCATGCGCTTCATGACCTGCAGATTTGGGCTGCCTTTAGGCTGCCCCACTTCATACTAGCAGCCACTAGCATGGGAGGACCAAAAGCTGGGCTGGTGGCAAAGTTCAGCTTTTCGGCCTCCTTGTCAATGTCCTCCCAAGGCGCACACATGTTCCGAGCCACAGTTCACCTTCAAGCTTGCACGCCTCGTCAAGTTCCTCGAGCAGCTTCTGCTGCTCTTTAAGCTCCACATTCAGGATCCTGACCCGGAGACGGCAATCATTTATATATCGCGATCCTCAAGCGCTAACTAGGCTGGCACAGTCTAGCACGGCTAACTCGACTCACTGCTGCCTAGAGTCTGAGCTGTGTTGCCAAGACGCTGCGCACTTAGTGACAGCTCAGTCAAGTCCTCACGGAAAGGCTCTGGTTGAATACGCGGGCTTGGAGCTGGATGCTCCAGTGAGCTTTCTGCGCTGACCACGTTAGCTCATGAAGGAGGGATTCCATGAATGCCTAGTGAAAGCAGTTCACAAGGCGTGGCATTCTTCCGTCCTCATCTTGTCTGGCCATGACCTGCGCTTGCTGTTGTCTTTGCCTGTCCAGGAAAGCCTGGTTCTCCTGCAGGCAGGGCTTCTCAAAAAAACGAGTGTGCAGTCAGAGCTCCTGTACAGCTCGACTTTGTCGCTCCTCACCTCAGATGTGCAGGGCTTGAGCGTGCAGCCAGACGGAGTGGAGAGACATGCACCAGAAAAGTGCCTACCAGCAATCACCACGTTCAATTCCCTCATAAGCAAGCAGTCTTGCTCATGCTTCTACACATGGCTACCAGTCACGAGCACGCGCGCTCGAAGCTGCAGTGGATAGAAGCGCCTCAATGAAACTCAGCTGAGACCTTGCTACTTTGCTGCACCAGAAGGGTAGATGGGAATCACATCCGCACCAGCCACTCGAACTTGATCATGGTGGAAGGATATTGGGACATTTTGCCGATTGGTTTTGAGAAGAATCCTGCAAGCTCGGCTACAATGGCTACTCACGTTCATCCTTCCCGTGCCTTCTGGTCGCTTTCTAGCTTGGCACGGGTCTGCGGTCCGCGGACATCCTGACATCATCAATGAATGCTCTTAAGATGCGAGGAGCCTTCTGACTTTCAAGAGATCCTTCTGCAGCTGTTCCAGCGTCTGACGCGACTCCGCCACAAAACGTCGGCGGCTTGCGAGCTCGGCATCACTGATCTGGAAGGTGCCACGATTGCCTTCGACCATGCTTATCGTGGCCTCAGAGGCTGGCAGGTGAAGACTCGATGCAACCTTGAAACCTCGAGTCAGGTTGCAAGCAAGCAACATGAATGTCATCCAGATCCAGGCTCAGCTGCTCCAGCTCGCCTCTGTGACTGAATGAAAGCTGAGTCAGCCGCCCTAGTGGAAAGCAAGCCACGGATAAATCTAGAATGGGCAGGAGTGGAGTCGGTAACGGACACCAGCACACGTGTCCGGAATAGCGGTGCAGGAATTGGACGCCAGGGTCAGTGTCAGCCCCACCCCACCCTTCCACCCTTCCACACCACCTTTCCAGCCCTCCCCCCCGCACTTCCTCCCGAATGCCTCACAGGCATCCCAAAAAAGTATGCCTGCCAGGGTGTGGGGGGTCTTTCAAGCGGCCTCCCAATGATAGACTCCTGCGCCAACACTTTGACTCAGTAGCATCAGCAGCCCATTGCACAAAAGAATGCCAGGCTGAGCATAACAGAGAATTGTTTCTTCGCTTGCTCCGAATTCATGTTGCTGGCGCGCTTTCTCAACTCATAGTCCCGGATGACAACACTGCGTTCCCGACTGGGTTGCTGCTCTGTTCGCGACTCGTGTCAGGGCTGCCCGAATAGTTGGAGGCTGACTTGGAGCACATGTGGTTGACTCGACGAGCATCACTGAGCCATCTCGTTGAGGGGGTGCCTGCAAGGTCAGCGTGAAGCTCCTTGAAGCGCTCCGAGCGCGCGGTGTTTTCTGTCTGGAGAAGCCGTCGCCATTCCGGATGCAAGCCTTCGAACTTCGCTCCATGAGTCAACACTGTTTCGAAAGGAGCTGGGCAAACCCGGCCTTGAAGCTTTTGCATGGCTTTAGCCACCTCCTCCTTGGCCACATAGTAGGGATCACTGGAAGCAGACAGCATCGTCTCCTGAACCGGGCAGGGCGATGCGGCATTGGCACTATTGGCTCAGGTCACATTGAGGCCGCCATACTTCAAACACCCGGTGACCTTCTGGTGTGTGGCACGCAGGCGCGTCTACTTGGACGTGAGGTGAGTCTGAGGTGGTGAAGCTGCTTTTGAAAGACACTGAGTTGACGCACTCTACTTGGCCGCTGGCACATCTCGTGCTGCATGCGGTGCTAAGCTTTTTCGCATGACATGGTGATGCTGCTTGAGCTGGCGTTGGCAGTGACCACCACCCACCCCTCCACCCCCAAGCATCAAACAGCCAAGCCTGCAGGGCAACGAACGCCCTGTCCACTTCTATTTCTCATAATCCCTCGCCTTCTGCGAGAAAGTTGTTTCACTAAATGGGCATGTCAAGACGAAGTTGCCTAGCTGTACAGACAAGGTCTTGGCACTAACAAGCCAGAATGGCCTCGTGTCTGTTTGCTGTACATGGCTCTCTCCTTGGGGCCGCGTGCGACACTGAGTTGCTCCTTGGCAAATTCACCAGCGGCATCGTCATGTCGGGCAGCGGCATAGAAGGTGAGGAGGCCGCTTCTACTTTTGCCTGTTGCCTCCAGGTTCACACTGATTTCTTTGTCTAGGAAGTCTAAAGGTGCATGTGCGTACAGCCCCTCACCCATTTGAGCTTGGGTAGCTCTTGCCACTCCCGCACCACGCTGCCGCTAGCAAAGGGGGTGAAATCTAACGCCAATTGAAATTCAGACCACAAATTCACGCTGGGCTCTGCTGGCCCGGCGCGATTGTCGGGCTAAAAAAGCTCTCTGAGCTGCCAACGCACTGCTCTCCGCTGTACCGGCTGAACCACTGTCTGGCGCATCATCCTGAGGCCGAAGCCGCCCCAAAAGGACTGGTAGGTTTGTCCTAAACTCTGCCAGCGTGGGTGTTGGCACACACGTCTCGGAGCTTTCACTTGCAAGTTCCTTGCGCGACTCTCCAAAATCTGCCTCCTGCTTGCTGAGGCCCAGTGCCGTCTCGTCAAAACGCACCGCCCTTTGAGAACAAGGGCTCTTCGGAACGCGCCTGATTGCCTCCTCGGGCAGCCCAAACGGCTGCAGACGCTGTGGCGTCATGGGCGTGTTTGGAGTCCTTGGCGTCTTGGGTGTCTTGGGCGTCTTGGGCGTCTTCGGCACCTGCAAGGTCCTTGGAGATGGCGAGAAACCCTGGGCCATGGTCTTGGAAGCCTGGGCCAAGCAGCGCAGAGATAATGCCATGGCGGAGACTGAGAGGGGGAGCAGCAAAGCTGAGACAGATTCTTGATCACTGCAACAGCACCTCGAGCGCAACAAACCCATCGCTCACAACACACGCCTATTAAATTGCTTGTATTCATGCAAGCCTACCGAATTTGTACAGTCGGGCAGTGGGCACTGAAAGCATTGCATGCTTCATCTCTGTCACTCCGGCACGCAGTTTCGCCAACACCTTTCTCAGCGCAACATGGGGAGCTAGGATGCTGTGACGTCCTCTCCAGAAGATTCGCAGCTCAGGCCATTGAGGTTGGGTGTCTTACACATGCTTTGTCAGTCCGCAGGGACAACTTGCTGCCACAAATCTCCACCAGAGAGCTATGTCCATAGAGAGATATAGACTGTCAGTCTAAGCAACCTAGCGAATCCAGCTGGTCAAGCAAAAGGGCGTGGATTTGCGAATAGGGCTGTTCAACATGCTACCGAAACCCACATTGTCCTAACCTGAGCTTGCTGCTGACTTCGGACCGTCTTGCTTTTGCATAGACAGTGGCCCTCTGAGAGCGCTTGTCAGATCCCAGTGCCAGGCCAGTTCTCTCAGCAGCTGTTTGTCGCTTGCTTTCGCACTAGACCCTGTCTGGCGAAGGTTGTTGAGCTATGCTTTTTCTCAAGACATTTACGTGGTAAGGTTCCTGGATCTGGCAAGCGACTGCCTAGCTGCATCAAAGCAGATCTGGGTGGCACCCCATGACCCTTTGGCACCTTCTGATTTTTTTGTGCTTTTAACTAAGGGTGTGTCACCCGCTGCTCGCACCATCTCGCACCCTCTGGCCTTCAGGCCATTGGCGAACTTTGGCCTCCAAACACGCGTACGCGGGTAAGTCAGCATCGTGGGCAGCCATGCAGGAACGCAGTCCAGCAGTCCCATGATGCTAGATTCAGAGCAGACAACTCACACCACGGGACAAGATGAAATGGTCCCAGGCTGCGGGCAAACCTAAGGCTTCCTTGCAGGCCGTGAAACCCAGTAGCCTTCAGACATACAGCAAAATGATCTTGCAAAAGCTGCCCGATTCTTAGTAACAGTGTTGCAACTTAAGTGATAACGGGCTTTCCAGCAACTCTTGCAATGATTGGGAGATTTGAGGCGCGCCGCACCAAGGTCTAACATAGTCAGCTGACTGCACTGGGGCTGTTGCAGGGCTTCACCTAAAACAAGGGCCCTGACGTCTAAGATGGTGAAGGAATCGCGTGTCTAGTGACGAGGAAGTTCACAGCCCGAGCTTCGGCCAGCGCTTGGTGAAATGGCCAGATGTCAAAAGCGTCTAGGCTCACTCGCATTTTCGAGTTTAAGAGCGCTTTGACCCCAGCGTTCCTGCACGCGGACGCACACAAGGATGCCACTCATACTGCCAGTAAATGCATAAAATGCCATGCAACTGAGCAGTTCACGCACTCCATCATTTCTTTTTGACCGTTGGCCTTGGCAATTGCCATAATAAGTAACAAAAAACTATGAAGCGCTGCATGCATGGCACATGTTTGGCCGGGTGGCTTCAAGACGATGAACTTGCACATCAGCGTCCTCACATGCGGTCATGAAGAATCAACCTCTGACCCGACATGGCTCGGCCTCTCTCACACAACCCGGAAACTATGTCACAAGCACACTTCTGGGAAGTTTTGGAAGTTTTCCCAGTTTCGTGACCGATCGAGTTTGCTCTTCTGCTTGAACTTTTCTGGGCTGCTTGGCCACATGAAGCCAAGATGCTCATCTAATGTCATCATGGCCCCCGCGTTGTCGAACTCGCCGCAGTAGTTTGGGGCGCTGAACAGGGTTACCTTCGCGTGCTCCACACTCGACATGTAGGACATGATGCAACATGAATGTGCTCAGCAAGTGGCAAGACTCCGCTTGCCAAAGAACTCATACCTGTCGCAGAACCCATCGAGAAGGGTGACTTCGAGGCATGCACAACCCTTGTGTCAAATGCAGCCGGCAAGGCCCATCTTCAACGACTTGGTGCGCCCGGCACACAAGGTCAAGGTTGTATCGTTTCAGGAAAGCTGCCACCACATCGGTCCTGCCAGACTGTGCGAATCGCGGCCATATGACAAGTAGGTGCATGATAAATCCTCTGCAATGACATACTGGGCAGTGGGTAGCCCCAGGCTGCGGTCCCGAACACATAGGAGACACCCCTGTCGTTCTCAGCCCAGCCGACGTAGTCCCTGCAATGCAAGCACACTAGGAAAATCAGAGTGTGCTGAAACATTTATCTGAATCTATCTATGTCCCCATTCGCACCGGTCTCAGGGCCATGAATTCGCTTTTATTACTGCATGCAGGAGTCGTCTACCGACCCCCTGGGGAACGGCTTGGCGATTGCCGTGCCTGTCGGGGTCTGACCACAGCCTCCAGTTAGCCAAAGGGTTGACTATGAGGAAGTCTTGCTTTTGCTTCGGATCCGAGATTCTGAGACCGGGACAGGTCACATATCAACCCGGAATCTGGAACGTCGGTGGGGCGGACAATTTTCCGAATCTGCAGCAGCGTGCGCCGTGAGGCAAAGCAAACGAGACTGCTGGCATGTAATGGCAGCTCTAAAAAGCCTGGTCAAAGTGCTGCAGCTCTGGCGAAAGGCCGCCATGCATGCACATGACCTTCCTTGGAGCTGCTTTGATTTCACGTGTGAGTACACATTGGCTAACCACATTGAGACAGCGGCTCGTCAACCAGCGCGCTAACGGGTAAACAGTTGAAGACCTGAGACCAAGGCATCCACAGCTTAAGGCACACACTGGCTCAGTAGGCCTCGGCAGCTCTGGGCTTCCAGCATCACAGAAACTTTTCCAAAGCTTGATGTTGAAGCGTCGCTTGCACTCATCGTAGAACCCGTAGATACGCGTAATCGATGCACTCTCGTGGTTGCCTCCTGAACGCCCGTACACCACAAAAGCCGTCGTCCATGTTGGACATGTGTGGCATGCTTCCATCTTAGGGCTGCGCGGAGCAAGAAAAAGTTTTCCGGATACAAGGCCTTTCAGGCAAACTGCAGGTAACTGAGGCAAACAAAGCGCCAGTGGCAGAAAAGTGTAGTGTCAAGGTAACAAACATTCCGCCTTGTAGGTAAACAGGAGCACGATGGTCTCAAGACTCTGCTTGCCTGCACATATGTAATGATTTCAAACTGGGCACTTTGCCCCCTTTCATCGGGCATGCTTGGCTTCTGCAAATGCCTCGATCCACATAGTCGCCGAGAAACAGATAGTTGCTGTTGGGCCTAGGTGCTGGGCTACTTCCGATGGCTGGGGTAGCTGGTAGCTTGCTGTAGCTTCACACTGCTCCCTTTGCCACCCGATCTCCGAGAGACCTCTGAGAAGTGGACGGAAACCCTCCGTACTCAAACATTCGGAGGAGATCATGGAACTGCCTCGCAGCTGCATTCCCTGAAACCGGTTGAAAGTGCTGCGAGATAGCCAGAAAAAGGCACTGACCCGTGAACGTCTCCACAAATGTTCATAGGGGCCTCGGAAAAAAAAGCCAAGGCTCCTCTTGACCAAAAAAGTACTGAGGGGGCAGCCTCCAGCTCCAGGAATGGACTTTGAGAAAGGAAAATGCTCCGAACCTTTGCATCGCAGGCGCAGGCATCCCAGCCATGGTTCTAGCAAAGCTTGCTATGGCTTCGGGCCTGGAGGCATAGAGCCTTGATTTCCTGCTCCTCGAACCTCAGGAGTCCAAGTTCACCCACCGTGATCTCTGCAAGCGACCGAGCGACCGAGCGCAAGCTGAGGTCCGGTCGGAACTGGCTTCCCCGGTTTCGAGCTTCGCGCATCCATGCACCTCCGCAGGTTCAGCAACCGCTGCCTATTCCAGTAACTTCACCAAAGCTGGGATGAGAGGTGGTTTGTGTCCGTACTTGGCCGTGTACTGTGTGTTGCTCGAAGTCTTCAAGCTTGGAAAAGGCACCAAAGCTCAGTGATCAGAACCAGCTGCGACTAACAAGAACTGCTGGGTTCTTCTTACAGCCAGTTTGCGCTCGGTACTAGCAGGCTTGGCACGTTCGTGCAGAAATGGCGCATGGACATCATGAGCTCCACTGGTGTTTGAGCCTGCCCCATTTAAAGCCTTCCCTGCATTTTTCAAGGCGCAACACAGCCAGCAGAATGCTGGTGGTCTGCCCTCGGTCTGCGATATGACTCGGCACCAAGCCAAATCCGCACAACATCCAACAACCAGTACAATCCACAACAGCAAAACTCGGAGCAGCCTCTTGACAATCTCTTCGAAGTCCGAGCTCGCCATGACCGCGGCCTGACAAATTTTCGGCTTTTCCGAGTCTCACTTCAGGAGTAGCTCTGGGTTCTAAACCCTTCGCAATGACAATCCACCATGCCTCGTTCTCGCCGCTGTAACAGTCGGCCAGCTACGAGCCAACGTAGCGGAAGCAACACTTTTCTAGTCGACGCCATGAAGTTTGGCATAAGGCATAGGGCACTGCGGCGGTACCTTGCTGTCAGAGCTTGCCTTACTGGCCCGGTGCACTTGCCGCATCTTGCCACATGCCAACCTGCCACTTTCTTTTCCCGCTTCTTTGGCTGGTCTAATCGAAATAAACATTGGCACAAAGTCTGAATTCAGACGTTCCAGACCTTGCAGGCCTCTCATCACCAGAGTGCAGGCTACTAGCAAATCCCATGGTCTCTGCTAACCCTCGGTACCCGTGTCGGGTCCTTTCAACAATTAAGAGTAGAGAGCTTTGAAAGGTTGGAGTAAGAAGCGTAGATCACATCGGCAAGTCAAGCTCATCCTCACTTCGAAACCTGAAAGCAAAATTTGCAGACCCCAAGTGTTTTCCAAAGTGGCGTCCGGGAAGCGGGTCGCTGACAATGCCTGATCGAGGTCTGGGGGTGCGGCTCATCTGCTTCTGAAACCTTCGCGTGAGATTTCCAATCACACAAGGCTTGCAGGCTGCCAGCTGCTGGGTGCCAGCGGAACCCGGCTTTAGATAAAAGCATCGCCAACTTGCAGCCTTCTCCGTTTCGCGATTCTGCACGTGTACAACTTTTCGAACAGCCAGCACTTGTAGGCTGCTAGAGAAGCGCCCCAAAGCGATTTGTGGGCTAAGGGCTCACACCATCAATCATGGAGCAACGGCTCCGCGAGAGTCAGAGTTGAGTGACTCAAGCACCGCAGCCCTGCATGCAAGTCTGACCCAACAAATGTTTATGTTCATGCACAGGAGCTGCAAGAGTGATCAACGTTTCTTCCTTATCTGACCAAGGCTCAGAACAACGCGCCACAAACCAGCAAGCCAAGCAGGGCCACGATTCCGGGCCAAGAGTTTTGCATAGGCGAAGATGCCTGGCATTGCTCTTCTAAACCAATAGTAGTAGATAGCATGCCGAAAGGACGCACCTGGAGACTATCCAGAACCTCTGGAGGGGATGCGCATCCCCAGTCCTTCCACGAGTCCACCACGCTCCTGAACACCAAGGTGTACTTGCTGATCCCTGCCAGCAAATAACGAAAGAGGCTAGACCATGGCAGACCAATCAGATGATCAAGTGCTGCCGAGCAGCAAAAAGCGAGAGAGCGGACAAAGTACCTGCAAACACTAGCGGAAGCTGTAACTTACCACCTGCATCATGGTCTTCGTTGACCATGCCAGAAAGGCCCGCAAAACCTTGCTGCTCCTGTGCATCCCTAGCTTCCTTGGCCCAAGCCGCCAGGCCTCGCCGCAAACACCTAAAACCAAAGGCTTTCCATCGCGGAGTGCGCGCAGGACACGCCCAGAAGGCCCATCGTAAAGTTCCAAGATGACAGAGGAGGCATAGCCTGCAGACAGGCCGGTTGCACAGGGCAAACCAACAACAGCGATGAGGACAAACACCCGCGACAATCTTGAACAATCATTAACGTCTCACTGCCATGCTGCCGGGCCATCTGTCATCCTGAGCACAGGTTGGGACAGGGAGTTGGGACTTTTTGTGCACTCAATGCCAAGTTCGAACCACTATAAAGAAAAAACCGACAGGGGTGTCTGCAAGACGTGAGCACTGAAATCCTTCAAGCTTCCCATCCCATGAGCGCATTGAGCAGATAGATCATGGTGCCTCAGGCACTCGAGCGACGCCGCACAGCGCAGCAGGCTTGCTGGAACTTAGCCCAGGCGCTGTCATGCGTAGACCACAAGGCCAGCTTTGGTCCATCAGGAGCTTCGGAGGCCTTGAGCTGCTTGGCCAAGGCTTCCAGCCTGAAGCAGATTCCGCAGAAGCCGTAGAATCAGGCCAACAACAGTCATGAGGCGCTGAGGCGCGGGCGCCCGTGATGCAACCAAAGATGTCCAATTCGTCCCTCGCACCTCTGCGTCACTTCTGCACTTCCTCGTTTACGACATCTAACTTCCAAATGGCTGGAGAGGCTGCAGCTAGCTTGGGGCCAGAGGACTGCTGCCATTTGCTGGCGCCATCCCCAGTAGAGGGCCTGGCCCGTGCGTGCGAATGCATTTTAATAGAACCAATACACTTTAGACACTGCAAACTGGTGCCTCATCTGCTAGCTTGTGGCTAATTGCATCAGGCAATGGCAAGCCTTAACACAGAAATCAGATGTCGCCAACCTCAACTAGGTACATCATCTGGCAGCATGTCGGTCAGGCCGGCACCGGCACACCGCGAAGTTAAGATGCAGTCGTAGAGCATGTGATTCCACGACACCTTGCAACCAGAATTGTCCAAAAACAGGGCTTGCCAGCAGCAAGCTACGTCGAATGCATGTGCAAGCAAAACAGGCTGCATGAGACCGCCCCTTGCTTTCCATGTAGGGTAGGCCGCCGCCATCTTATTGAAAGACAACACCGCGAACTAATCTCTTTCAACGTCGTTATCACCCTCTTTGAAATGCCGCCCTACATACCACAGGTCCAGGCCGCATTGGCGTGGTGGAGCCACGCTGAAGCGAAGGCCCGGTAGTTTTTGTCCGCTTTGATCGCCTGAAGCCAAGGCTTCAGGCTCGTATAGTTTTGCGCCACAACTTTGCAAAATCAAATTCTCAAGCCTTGATCTCAGGGAGTGGGGAGCCATCACAAGGCGATGTGGCGACATAGCCCGATAGCTGGAAGGGGTCGTCTTTGAGAGGGAGTGTGTGTACCAGGACCTGATGCTTGCCACAGCCATTTCCAAGGAAGGGTACGCAAGCACATGCGACAGCTTCACAACCCATATAAGCTGCGGGATCATCTGCTGGCGTCCCACCAGCAAACAGCTGGGAGATCAACAGATCGGCGCCTTCTTTGCGAAGAACTGTTCACAGAGCACTGGCATACTATGGCAGACTCATCAAGGCCCTTAGCCCCCAGCTAAGCCAAGCCGCTGGCCAGATTGCGCTCATTGTCGCAGGAGTAAATATCTCGGATACAGCACATCTGTACATGCAAAGCATGCAAAGCAGTCACGGGACTTGGGCTGCCGCAAACATTGCCATTTGTCAGGTTCAGCTGCTTCCACAGAGAGGTGTGCTGGTAGCTGTCATTGAGCGACCAGGCTAAGTTCCTAAACCTTTGCTGCGCAGGACAAAACACGAACTCGCCGCAACATTCTCTTCACATCTCTTCAAAGACACAACCGCTAGAGAAGGATCTCGTTCGTGAAATGGGTGGAGCACCTCTGCCTATCTCTCTCGCCATCTTTTGAAACTTTAGGGCACTTCTCGGAAGTTCGCATGCCTTCCGGCCTATGATCCCTACATACCTCTGTTACAGTAACCCAGAACATCTTCTTATGTAAACTGTTGCCTGGGCTGTCGCTGCGTGGCTGCAGGGGAGCTTCGCCCAATAGCGAACCAAGGCCACATCCCCCAGGTTGGTCAAAGCGTTTCGTAAGCGGCCTGTTTCACCAAATGCAAATCAACCATGGCATGTATACATGTCCGGTAACCCCCCGAAAGCCCATGATTATCTTGACCTCTGCAGGTAGATTCTAAGCCCAATGAAATACGTTAAGAGGTCCGTGCGATGAAAAGATTCAGAAAATGAAAAACCTTAAGAATAGGGAAATGGAGAAAATAGGAAACCGAAACTGTAAAAATGGGAAATAGGCAATTGGCAATCGCAGAAAAATAGGATATGTTTTGGAATCTTTTTGGCGGTCCATTCTTCTTATGGTTCGTGCTATACTTTGCTATTTCCCTAGCTTTTTTCCCAGTGTTCTTCCATTTCCCATTCTCTCTTTTGAAAAGTCCTGGTTTCCTATCTTTCCTTTGTTCCTATCTGTAAAAAAAAACAGGTTGTTTGTTACAGCATATGCACGGACCTCTTGAACATAACGCTCGTTACAGTACCTCGAACATTCATCCTGTAGGTGGGCAGCACAGTATTATTTCCCAAGCAAACCTAACGAAGGTCTGCAGAGGCGTATCTGTTTTAAGGCAAACTTTGGCTTTGCTACATTGACGACCGAAGGACAAGATGCTACGAATGATGGTCTTATGATCACTCACTCAGGGCTTCTTCACAAGCACCTTTCCATTCGCGGCCAATGTGGTTGGAGGCCCCGAAACCGTCAATGCATTCGTTCCATTGTTCACGAGCAGGCTGGAAATCCCTACGCAGAATGGCTCCAATGAGTTGAACAATTGGGAATTCCAAAATCCACGGATGGCCTCAACCCCCTCTTCCCACGCAACACATCAAAGGTTGAGGATTAGGGCCAAATTGCTGCCACCTCACTTTCCGTAAAGCATTCAGTTTTGCCCACGCTCCGTTTTGGGAGGTCACTGAGCACTGGCACATGGTACCAACCGAGGCCCGCAATTTTCAGTAACAGTACAGCACTTTCAGCCTTCAGGATTTTGTTTTTAGGGACAGCACAGCACTTGTGAGGGTTGAGGAGCTGAGCGTGCTAGACGGATAGCCTGGACGCATCTCCAAGCTGATTTTTGAAAGAATTGCTCAACCTCCCCAGTGCCGAACAGCCCGTGAAACCCAACAGTTTGCTTAGGAATCCAGCGCAGGCTCCCCAGAATTGATTCCCTAGACGGCGTCATAAAAGAAATCAATCCAGATCTTAGTCCTGGATCAATAATGAAGTCCTGTAACGTCTACTAAAGTTTAAGGAGGAGTTCACACACATCTGCACGGTCCTCACGCCCATACAAAATCAAACCATGAGATCGTTCAAAGCTTGAATAAGTTCAACAAGGATTCCGCTCATTCCTAGACAACCCCTTTTCTGCGATGCATGTGACAATAGGAGGAAACAAAATGCAATTAGCTGTCCTTACCTTTTCCTATACGACGCGTACTTGAAAACAAGCCCAATTCAAGCATAGGTCCAGCCTCTTGTGGAAAGTTCTGCAGGCGATATGCCACCCACGTGAAACTATACTTGCATTCATGTAAGATCTTGATGATTGAACCATGCTTAATCCAACACCTTTACAATCTTACCGATTCTGCTTTTCTCCCATATGAAACCATGCAAAGTAGGCACGGCCGAACTGACATGAATCTGGAATGCCCTGGGTTCTACCAACACACGACCTAATGCAAACTGAACACGTCTCACTTGATCAACTGCTAATGGAAGCGAAATTCAAGACTGATTTCATTCAAGCAGGATTCCACCCATCCCGGTCCTTGATCATAGAAGCCCTAACCTAAAGCCATCAAATTCAATTAATGTCCTTGCAAGCATTTTCAAGCATCAGAGGTATAGCAGTCCTGGCAGTCATCAGGGAGCCCTCGTCACATTCCTACATGGATACCTGTAAGATACATGCGAGTCAGGCTGAATTTTATTGTATGGGATGTATGATTTTGCACGGCATTCAACAAGTAAGGCCGCCTTCCACTTCCTGCAGTGATAGAGATCGGGAGGTCACCTCAGATTGCACTTCAGAGAACAACCGCAACGGTGAAGTCAACTACCCGGTCCAGTTGGCGTCATTCATGCCCGTTCAAGTCTTCCGATGCCCAGCTGCAAGTGAATGGTGGCGTTTCCTTGCAAGCCGTGCAGTCAGTGTAGTCTTCAAGCACTGAGGGCCGTTCATTTATGCCGTTTGGCATATTGATCGGTAGGTTACTGTATAGCTTTGGACAGGTTGTCTTCGATGACCACAGTCAGCATCACACGATGCAGTGCAATCAAAGGAAAGTCATGTCTAACCTCGGTAAGACCGGTAAGAGCTAACATGGGCTTCGTATTGATAAGTGCAACAGCTTGAGAGCGTCCTGCTGAAACGGCCACAGTTCTAAACGTTTGCGACTGTAACACATGGTGCTGTGCAAGCTGCACTTGGCTGAAGTGTTTCAGGATCCCTCACTTGGAAGAATCAACTGATTAAGGTATCAAACAGCAGCATGAGCAAGAAATCCACAGTGAGCGGCTCGAACATCATCTCTTTCATCAAGGGCACTGCTGGGGCGTCTCTTCTATTCGCCCAGCACTCCAGAGGTGCCCAAAGCGAACGTGCTCCATGCCGGTGGATAACCTTTCAGGTGACATGACAAGAAATTTGCCTGATTGTGTCATGCTAGCCTGAGATGACAACACACCCAACAGAAGGGCTGTGAAACCGAGCCTGAACTTGAAGCAACTCCAAACCTTCGACGGGCGGCTGTACCTGTGGGCAAAAAAAGTCACGATTCATGCGGCTGGCTGAGCTATCTCCCCAGGAGCACCCATCGCACATCATGGCCACAATACCCTGCAAAGACTTCACGCCCGCGCGAGGCAAAGGAAGCATCTGCAAAGCAAGCCGCGCCAAAGGTGCCTGCTGATGACACCAAATCTGCGCTATGTTCACTCTCTGCTGTCATGAAGGCAGGCATCCGGATGTCTTGTAGCGGTAGCTTACAGGAGAACTGTTGGCCTGCCAGGGTGGCGAGTCCGCGCTTCATGGCAGTCAAGGAACCCATTCTGAAGATTCGTGAAAGCAACTCTGCTGTCTTAGCGTCTAAGGGAAGCCCCCATTCAGCTTACGCGATTTCAATCTGCATCCGGTGCTGTCGAGAGAGTTCGACAGAACAGCCGCACAGGCCCTGAGAAGAAGACGGGCCAGCGGGCATCTCTTCGCAAGCCGAAGCAACGGAAGTTTTGAAGACGCTCTCTTCTCTAGACTGTAGCTGTGTACCTATATAACGCACAACAAGCACATGAAGGCATGACCGAAAAAGCTCGGGCCACGGCGTTCGTGGAGAATGCCTCAGAGACCCAAGTCGTTGCTGAGCTGAACAGATTGCCGCTCGAGCTGCAGACGCAGACAGGCTCTGCCGCCACGTCTCGCACGAGAGCCTGTATATCCATCTGGCTGACGGGCTGGCTACACAGAGCCTAGGATTTCATGCCTCCAGTGCCTGGCGTTGATCCAGTTGTGGCCGTCTCTCACCTCCCCCACTGCTCCACCATCCCAAATGAGTGCCTTCGATGCTTTCGCCGCGCGCCTCCGCTTGAACTGCCTGAGGAGCTTCGTTCCCGGGTCACCTCCACCTGTTCAACACCGCAGATTGACAAACGACTTTGTAGCTGAATGCTGGCTCAGCTTGCCTGACCCACCCCTTCCACTGCGTGTGGCGTTGTGTGCCCATGGCCTTGGCTTACTGAAGAAGCTTTGCTGTAGTACACTGGCACTTCGACTTCCCGCCGCACTGGGCTTCGGGCTTCCTTGAGACGAACCGCTGAGATGCTCTGCGAGCGCCTTCTGCTTTATGCGAAGACGTCTTTCAGCTTAAAAAGAGACACGCTGACAACTTAGCATAGTGAAGGGATTCTGACGTGCAGCATGCTGCAGCCTGCCCTGCCACGTTCTGCTTGTACCGTGATGGGCAATCCGAGCGCTGAGCAGAAGTAGACCGCAAGATCTCGGAAAGGTTTGCTGAACCTTGACAGCCAGAATCTGCGCAGGACTCCCCAAAGCAAAAGGGAGCAAGCTGGCATCGCAAAATGCCGCCTTACAAGTCACGGAGTTGACAGGGAGAGCATACCAAGACCGCCACCAAGGGTCGGCGAGGAGGAGTTGCTTGCAGCCTCCCGCACAAGCCAAGACCGTCTCCTTTCTCCTTTCTAGCGGGTGCGTTCGCTGGATATGATCAGCTAAAAAGCCTTGCGGAGTCACTGGCACAGCTTTCTCCTTGCCCTCCAGCGCTCACGGCATCTCTTGGCTTCAGCATGAAGTGAGTTCAGGTGCAGGAGGCTCATCTTAGCCCCCCTCTTCCCGAGGTCAGCTGCAGTTAAATTGCAGGGTTCACTTCGGAGTCGATCCACTCCAGCAGTGCTTTGAGAGGTCTCCAGCGTCGTTCAAAGAGCTTGGAGGAAGCCCCTGGCTTCAAAGGAGGGGCGCTGTCCGCAAAGGAAATCAGCCTGAGTAGGCCAAGAAGGACGGCTCCTGGATGGAGATTCGGCTCGCAGCTCAGAGGTTCCCAACAGCTCTGACACCTCTGTGGTCTCACAGCGAGACAACTTTCCAACAAACGCAATACAGATCATGCATTCCTCAGACCGTCGAGGCGAGCCTGCAAAACTTGTGCCTTTCTGTTCAAAAGCAATGCCTTCTTCCCGGCAAACGCCACAAAAGCTGTTGCGGGGCACCGTGGTCCCCTAAAGGTCCCCCGTGCTTCCATCAAGAACTTGCATCCTCTGACCTCCCACTGAGGCAGGCCTTGCATGGAATGTGGCCACTGGGGAGAAGGCGACGGAAAAAAATTGACCCAGACCCGGCAAAACAAGCAGTCATCCAAACTAGCGAATGCTCCAGGTCTGGAGCGCAACCTGCTTAGACTGCCATTCAACACTGTTAGATGCTGTTCATGTCGAGCCCTGCATGCAATTAAAAGTCCGGGTCCGGAGGGGAATTTAGCCAGCGACTGGAGCGTGAGCTCTGAAATATTGCTGCAGGGCACCAGAACTTAGTTGACTTAGGACGGCAAAAGCCATGCCAGGGATCTAAGCATGCCAAACCCCGGCTGTCAAGCAAAGCATCAGTGAAGTATCAGGGCTCATCGGAGTGCAAGGGACACCGCGGCACTTCGAAAGCTGCGGCGCCTCGCGCAGCACTTCCCGCGAGGCAGCTGCACAGCTTTTCCACGTGAATTATGGGCGACCTTCTTCACAAAGGTCGATTTTGTCACCCCAAAAAACCTTGATCCTGGAAGGACGCCCAAAAAAGATTACAATTTGGATTACCCTCCTTGCAACGCAAACCTGGAGATACTTGTTGCGCGTAGTGCTCAAGAGTCCTTCTCCATGCCGCTTGTCCTCTCAAGGCTTGGCCGCGCAAGTCTCATCCACAGATCTGCTGGGTGCCCCTTTCAAGGAGTCGTGAACATCTGACCTCAAAGCAGCTTCTTGCTCGCCTCCGTCCGCCAGAGCGCCTGGCGCTAGAGCCACGGAAGAAGATTCAACGATGTCATTTTCCAAAGAAATCCTCAGCTTGACACAGGCACAGTTAAAGTTGAAGCTGGGTGGCCGCAAGTGTCAGCTCTGCAGCCCTTCTTTACCGTTACCGATCGAAGCAAAAAGATGGCCACCCAATGGCGTGCAATTCAGAAGTAGGCTGAAGTAGAGATGCTGCAAGCGCAGCAGTAAGAGGTAATGAATATTCGCCGTGGAACTGCGAAGCCACGGCCGCGGCCTTGTGGGGTTTCCATGTGTTTGCGCTTCACTCATCAAGGAGACACAAAAAGCGCAAGATGTGACCTCAACGCCTTCTAATAGGCTGAATCGATTTTCAACCCACCGCCTGACCGCGATGAAGCAGTTGCTTGCAACGCAGAGTAGGAAAAACGTAAACACCTGGCCAGCAGCATTCCCGAAATGCATGCGTTATGAATGCCTGACCACACTCATGGCCCATGGCCGCATCATCTAGGAGCGCATGGATCGCAGCGGGTGGACATCTGCTGACAGGCCACCACCATCCCAATCCCCATGCCAGCAACGGCCACAGTTTTGGCAGCCGGTTGGCCCATCCTGAAGCGGCTACCAACAGGGACATGGCGTCTTTTTCGCACAGCTTAGGCACAAATTCTCAGTGCTTCCCGGTCTCCAGGCTGAGAAGATCCAGTCTGACTGGTCGTGACTGGCCACTTGGATCCGCCTGAGGTTGAATTGAAGCCGAGGGTGCTCCATTCGCATGCAGAAAGTGTTTCTGGGTAGCCCGCCACTCTGGTGTGGGCCCCTCGAATGGACTAAGACGTGGATCTGGAGGTGGCGCAGGAGGGGCATCTTCGCCGAAGGGCGGGCGCAGGAACATGGCGCCGCTGGGAAGCCTTGGCTCGGGAACCAATTCCAAATTCCAAGTCATGTCTCTCCATCTCTGGAGTCAAGCAGCGTGATGGTGTAGCGGTGGTGGAGAATCTGCCGCAGGTCTGAAACCTGAGCTACGGGACGTTGAGGCATTCGGTTTCCAGGAACAAAAGCAAGCTTTGGGAGATTCCATGTGTGACCAAAGGCATGTAGCGCCCGACATTAAAAAAGGATGAAGACGGCCAGTTTGCATTCTTCACTTGACGCAGCAGAAGACTCAGCGGAGTTGGTTCGAGCCTTGGACAATCGAGGAAGCATCGACACTGCGCAGACGGTGAATCTCTTTAACAGTCCAGCTCTTACCATAAAATAAGTATTTTTACCATCTACTATGAACTCATGGGATGTTAGGGTACACAGTGCTTGCAACATCGCATCCGCAAGAATGCGCCGAGTAAGATGCCCCTTAAGCTGGCTTGTAGCGATGTGTGTTGCATCAGTGTGCTTCAGGCGTAACGATTGGATGGTGGTTCAGAGGCCCTGCCTGGGATCTTAAAGTGCCCAAGTGTGCAGGCCATTCCCGTCAACATTGGTTTCCTAATAACATGACGTGACTAAAACTGGGGAGGCAACTTATCAATAATGAGAATTGACTGCACAAACAAAATGCGGCTTTGCAGGGAATTTTCCCGCAGCGCACAAGGCCCGCAAAACTATACCAAGGCAATCCTGTGCGAGAAGCAAGTAGTCTGCAGAGTACTGCTCGAAAGGTTGGCCTGTTGAACAGCAATGTAGAGAGCTTCGACTATCCCTGCGCATGCTGTTTGCAGTGTCTCAAAGCGCTCCATCATGCTCACGACAAGTGTGCCTGCTGGCCACCGATATCGTGCGGAGGCTTGGCTGCACTCCACAAGTCGGGACATCTGCACAGTCCCGGCAAGGCCGTCCTTCCCATCCTCGAGCATCGTCATCCTGAGAGCAAAACATGGAAAACCGTGCCAGCGCAGCAGGAACATGCTTGAACACAGAACGCGCAGCAAAACGCAACACACTAAACAGCAGCACTCAACGGACGAAACCGCTCGACATTGTCTAACGAGAGGCAGATCTTCTTGCCGGCCAAATTGGTTCACGGCCTTGGCCTCCAGGCCTGGCCGAGGAGCAACCACACGCTTTTAACACATCCCCAAAACAAGCCAGAAGAAGAGGAAGAGGAAGAAGGCATTTGCTTGTTGAAAGTTTGCCCCGTTTGCCTCGCAGCGACACGTCCACTTGGCCGTAGCGCGTGGGGCTGTCGATGAGCAAGTCGACGTGGCGCACACGGAAGGTTGCCGCATCCAAGAGAGGGTACTTCCCTCAGAAACACACAGAGGAACCCCACCCATTCCGTCATCAAAACTAAGTAGCCTTCAAATGGATCCGGCTGAACACCGCCAACGACATCAAGCCATTTGGAGATGAGGTCCTCAACCTAACGGAGTGAGAGCTGCGCCACACTCTTCATAAACCACAGTGGATGGTTCGGCTCCGTCTCCCCGCACCTCGTCCTCACTGCCTGCTGGCAACTCTGCAGCCTCCGCCCATACTGAATCCTGAGAACAAGGCTTTGACAGTCGCTGGACAGGGCTCGGAACTGATGTGCATTCAGACACAAAGCATAGGCCCCTTGACAATTCAATTGTGCTGTCTTGTTTTCGTCCAGATTAGAAACCAGCTGCATAAGAAGCGTCAATTTCAACCACTATGGGACTGGAGTCCAGAGCCATGAGGTTGTTCCAAGACACCTGCTGCACAAGACGCACACACGCAGCGCCTCTTGTTTGCTGTTGGCATTGCCCTGTGGCATCCGACCTTTACATCGCTGATCCAGAACTTGGTGAAGTTGAGCCCCGGTGGGGCAAGCGCAATCAGGAGGGAAGCCTCACTGCAAAACATCGCTTTATTGCTTGGTGCTGACTTTCGTTAACTCCTGTATGTTAACTATGTCGACACCAAGCCACGGCAGCGGGGCTAACTGAAAGGTTGCGCAGCCAGAAGGACCTCTGCAGAAATATGTCAGCCTCGATGTGCGTGGAGTCCTGGAAAAAGTAGCTGCAACTCACGCAGACTTTTCCTCACACCCTGTGAGTAGAAAGAAGCCAGTTTTGCTGAGCCACCCAAAAATCAGGCACAAATACGGCCAGCTGCCGAGAGAAAAGATTGTATACCTCAGCTGGGCATCCAAAACCGGCAACCATATTCTGTCAGGCACTTCGGCCACTTAAGCGTATCAAGCACGTGATGCAGAAACAGTGTTAAGAGAAATCCTGCGACAGAACTATTTTGCTGGCGGGTAAGGTCTTGGGCTCAGCTGCTACACCTCAGGTGCATCTCAGCCAGTACAGTAGCCTGTGTGTTGGCATCTCACTTCAGCAGGTTGGTGCTGCTGCTCAGGGCTGCTGAGCAAGATCATCCGAAATCTCTTCTCTGTGGCCACGGGCAGGCGGCTTCGTCGAAGTCCGGAGCAAGCTCTGCACCACGGCAATGGAGGGATTCCAGCTGGCAATGCAGCTTCCAGCTGGCTGCTTGATTCGAAGAGTCTTGCAGACTTCACGGAAACTTCGAGTAAGTTCTTGCACCCCAAGCTGTGTGAAGGCTGCCTGTCGTCTTCAGCCCAGGGCAAGCCCAGCAAAATCAGGATACCACGACCGGTACTGCAGCAGAGACTTCACAACAATACGTAGTCTTGTTTCAAGACTGAGTCCTGCAGACAACGATTCTTCGCTCATCGTTTCCATCACTTC